AAGCACTGCGCCGCCAGCCCTCCACCCACTGTCTCAGTGTGCACAGGGCTGTACTCTGCCTCCAGGGCAGCAGCAGCCCTGCAGCTCCATGGCCACTAGCTTAAAGTCCAATAAACGTGTCAGTATTACGTGCACACTGTCTCATTTTGCTGCCCTTGCCTTCCTATGTGCTGGGAGGAACGAGCAGGAGCTGCCCCAGGGTTACAGCTGGGGCAAGAAGCAGAGGTTGTTTGGCTGCAAGGGGGGCAGGGCTGGGGGGGATGCAGCCTCTCAATCAGCAGCCGACTCTCGTTTGTATTTTACGCTCTTTATTTAGGAACAATCAAAAATGTCTGGTTTCATTTCAACAAACTGTACAAGCAAACTCTTTCCCTCTCCCACCCTCACGTTCACATATACAAAAGGAAGGGAATCTTGCCGTTCACTTCTCAGAAGTGGCATTGTTGCTACAGGGAGTTCGTGCCCTCAGAATGAGAGCAGTAAAGTCCATAGCAGTGCAAGCTACCCTAGCCCAAGTCATAGCCACAGCCCACAGTCACAGGCAGCTTCACTTTCGTTTTGTTTTGTTGTTTTTTTGGTTTTTTTTTGTCTTTGTTTTCTCTTTAAAACCTTTATGAAAAGTAAAAACTATTTCCTGTCTCGCCCGGCTGCCAAGGTGACCATCTAAAATCGTGGTCTTAAAAACAGTAAGAATTGGAACCCCCTGGTACAAAGACACAGCAGAGCCTCTGCTCTGCCCCCAGCTGCACGGCCACCCTTATGAAAGGTCCCGGTGCAGCTACAATTACATTTTCCTTTGGATAAATCCAAGCAAAAAAAAAAAGACCCCATTAGGCTGACTTTGTGGTCTGCTGAGAAACAAAGTGATCAACACGCTGCTCCCAAAGTCTCTCTGTAGAGCAATGTTAGTATGTGCAAGGGGAATCACAGCCACGTACCCATGAACACCGCCAGCCAGATGGGGCAGACAGAAAGTGCAATTTTTAGCAAGAAGTTTTCTATGCCATGAATTCCTAAGCCCAACCTTCTCTAGCACCAGTGAGCAAGGGCCCTCCTGACCTGCCCTCCATCCATGGCTTTGGCTGCACCATCCACATCTGCCCAAGGGCGGCCAGCAGAGCGCTCTGCTGAAATAGGCAGTGAGAAAAAAGAAAGGCAAAACCACTGCTGCTTCGGTAACAGCGCTCACTTGCTCTGCTCTAATGGCTTGTGATGCCAGTGCAGTATTCCTGGCATGCACTGCTGCCAGCAGGAGACACAGCACAAACTAAACTTGCAAAAAAAAAATATCAAAGTAGAGCTTGCAAGGCCATCTCCACTGCCTAATCTTTCCCTGCTGGTTTTGAGATCAACTGAGAAATTAAAATGGAGCTTATGCAGTGAGCTGAATCAGACGGATCTGAAAGGTGAAGCCACGGTTATCTGGAAGCAGGAGAAAGAAATTAACGTTCCAGTCTGTGCCTAAGTGCTGAAGTCATCCTTCCCTTCTGATTCCCAGTGACCCCAGCAGCTTCCAAACATCTTGGTCACATCTCTGAACTGGCTCTGAGAGAGGGACTGTAGGGAAGGAAGAGCGCAAAACTTCCCCCATGACCAAAAATCATTACTTTTCGTTAGCAAATACACAATAAGTGGCCCAAACACGGAATGCAAAACCAGCCTAGCATCAGCCAAGCAGATACCCTGCAGCTCCTCTGCACGAGCACTGCTTGGCCAGGGTGCAGCTCTGCACTGAGCTGCGGGGGGATTCAGATCACAGCTGCCAGCAGTGCCCAAGAGGAAACCCTGGCAGGAGGGGACGCAGCCACCTTAAAATACCTGCACTGGAGCTCTGTGTGCTGACAGTGAGTGCTGCAGGACATGTGGCTGTGTCCACTCCTGCCAGGGCTGTGAGCCTGATGGGCAGCACTGCTCAGCTTGCAGGCAAATGGAAACAGGAGCCCGAAAATCATGGTTTAGTGTTCTGTTTCAAAAAAAATAATAATTTTTTAAAAGGAATGATCTCCAGGATGCTAGTTAGGGAGCAGAAGAATTAGCAACCCACGTAGAACACAAAGCAAATGTGGAAATGAAACAGCTTGGCTGCTGATATGGATGACTCTTGCACTGGGAGAACCAGAGCCCTGTAGGTAAGCAAGTCAGGCACAGCACAGATCAGGGTCTCGGATTATTAAGCAATTGGATTGCGACCTGAATCTAAGCAGCTTCAGAGACAGAAGTAACAAGATTCATATGGATTACAAAGGATGCTCACTGCTGTGCTTACTGAGACCAAGCTCACGCACAGCTGAGGTGAAGAAAGTAATTTCCCTTCCCTACTGATGCTGGCTACATGACCTCCATCCTACTTTCCTCCTTTCAAGTCAAGACATCATCTTTGATTCGATGATGATAAATGTTCATGCTAAGAGCAGGGCTGCAGTGACACCTGCCCTTACCACCAAGACAGCTGTTCTGGGACTGCTGAGCCACCTCCTTTATTTAAGTTCCAGATGCAAACATACAATTTCTAATGCCCTGCCCCTAACCTCAATCAGTTTGGAGATTACACCTGCTTCTCTTTAGCTTCACAACTGATATGGGGATAGATATATCCCCATATATAGATATATGATAGATAAATGATAGGGGAAACAGAGGACCACAGAGCTAAACCCTCTCACGTTCAGCTTATACTTCCACAGAGATTTCAAGTCAACTAAAAATGCAGCTAAGGAGGAACGTGTGGGAGTCAGAAAGCAAACTCGGTTACTTTTTATGTTGGTTTTTGTCCTTACATCTCCCCGCCCTGCACAGCTCGGCCCTGCGGATGGGGGGAGCCTGCATGGAACCACTTCTTAGAATTCCTCTGCCCCAAAAGAAAGAAAACTCCTGCTGTGCTTCTATGAATGCATGCAGACAAAGCTCAGAACTCTCAGCAGCTTCCAACCCTCAAGGCTGTTTTTCTGTGTACACCGGGAAATTCTCCTTCTAGCTTGCAAGGCTTCTCAATTTGCTGGAAAACTGGCCAAAAAACAACCCAAGTGCAAAACGTTTCAGCTAGTGCATGGGAAAACAGTTTCAAGGGACCACTCCACACCATCATCCTTAAGCATTTCTGTAGATGAGCGGGGATCACTCTTCCAATTAGCCACAGGCCTATAAGTGCACACCAAAATCCCACAGAAAACCGCCTTGAATGGGCAAACTACATTCCCAACATATTTATATAGCGAGTAGTTAGTAGAAGTGTACATTTTTAATGTACCTCTTAATGCAATAAAGAATCAATGGCATATCTGAACTGTATATATGTGTACTTAAATAAACCTGCACGTACATAGACAATAGTAAATTACCTACCTGCATTTGTTCTCTGAAGGCAGCACTGGACATGCACTCACACTCCATTCTGGCAGCCTTGTCTCTGGCAGCACCCCGCTGTCCGCCATCACCTGGGCATTGTGGGGTGGAGGTGGCATCGCTGCTGTGCCTCCGACCAAGGCATGCAGGCAGCAGTGCTGCAGAGAGGAATCAGAGCCTGCTCTAGCTCATGGCATCCTGGGGAGGATTTGTGACTGCTAAGGGGGTTACAACAACACGTCTGCATCTCAGTGCCCAGCAGGCAGGCATGTACCGTGAGAACCCCCTGCAGCACAGAGAGCTTCTGCCAGAACGCTGGGCAGCCTCGTGAAGAGGGGACAGAGAACGAACTGGAAAAGCAAAAGCAATTAAAGGTAGAAATCAGACACCATCTTTGGAAGAGGTTCTGAAAGAGCTTTTTGTTTTTAAAACAGATTTTTTTGTAAATTTCTGGATCTGATCCTCTGAGGCTTGCTACCCACCCTTCTAATAAATATCATTTACCACTAACAATAAAGTCTCCCACATTAAAAAGCTCTCACTAAATAAAACCCTTCTACAGAAAAAAAGCTTGGCAAAAATAAGGAGCTGTGACTACTCTCCATAAATACATCAGCGGGTAAACACCAAAAACTATTTAAGTTAAGGGACAATGTTGGCTCCAAAACAAACCAGGAACAAACTGGCCACGAATTAATTCAAACTAGAAATTTAAAGAAAGTTTCTAACCATTCAAAGGCAGCGGAGCTCTGGAGCTGTCTTCCAAGAGCAAAAGTGAAGGCAAGACATGGAACCAATTTTGAGCTGGGAAGTGATTAGTTTACGACAGGATGGTCTGACACAGCACTTGGCTGGGCTGTTGCTCAGTGCTCCTCCAGACCTTGTGTTCTGTTAGGGAGGGATACTGAAAAATGCATCACGCAGCAACCACTGAGACAAGAGGAGCACGTCAAAAAGGAGCAGGGTGTGGAAGCAGAGAGCTTAACAGAGAAAAATGCTTGGCTCTGTCACATGGAGGCAGAACTGCTGTGGATGGAACAAAACAAAAAGTGGAAAAAGCAAAGACTTGAAGTTATCAGCACCACTGCCAGAGGATCGCTTGTAGTCACACAGGGCTGAAAGTGGGAAACTGCCCGACTGCTGCTGCCTCACAGAGCCCTTGGAGACAACAATGGCCTGAACCACTCTCAGCAGCTCTGTGCTTCTCTGTTTGTCCTCTGAAGAACAGCTTGTTCTCTCCGAACAATGAAAAGGATTCCAGGTCAGGATGGAAAAATTATGATGTGCTAGTTCTCAGTGATTAAAGGGAGACTTGGAGATTGAACAGCCTGCTGCAGTCAGTCTCCATCTGCAAAAGGGAACACGCTTTTGGCCAACAAGGGACAAACAACACTGAACTCCCTCTCCTGGTTTTGCTGCTGCTTAATGGAGAGTACGCAATGCTAAATTTGACCTCACCCCTCGGGATGAACACTGAGCTCCCACCTGGCCTCAGTGCAAGACTGGCAGCTTCTTTCTCAGGTGCCTTTTCTGACATGCACCCACACATATACACGTGTGCATCCTGCAGAACTCTTCAAAGCCAGAGCTTAGGGAATGAAAAAGGCAGAGAGGTTATATGCAGCCACGCCAGCCTTTAGAGAACAAACACCTTAACGGACAGATGAAAAAAATGTAGTGTGCCATAATAGTCCATATCTAAGCAATGACCTTGTTTACACAATGTCTGAGATTCGTTATGCTTGTATAGGCAGCTGTAGGCATCGGTATATGAATATGAAATCTGAAAGTTCGTCCACTGAAAAGCAAACAAGAGCATCCTATTTCTTGGGCGTGAGCTGAGCCCACAGCCCCCATCTCTGCCAGCCCTCAGCCGTCTCCTGGGCTGGGCCAGAGCTCTGCACTCAGTGCCCAGTTTACACTCGCACTCTCTCTCGTGCTGCACTCAAAGGTCTCATTTATGGCAGTGCTTTATCACCGTGTCCTGTTCCTGACGTCTGTATCAGACTGGCCCATCAACTTCTTAAAGACCAAAAACTTCTCAAAGGTAAGAGTGGATCCTCTGGGACAAGTGGTTTGAGTTCAGTCTGTTTCTAGAAAAAAAAACAACAATACAGGTATCAGAGATGCTCCAGCATGCCGCAGGTGCCTGCAGCAGGGAACAGGGGGTGTAGGTGCACCTCATGATAGCAAACCAGGAGCCCTGATGGAGCAGCTGCAGAGAAAAGCTAGCCCAGCATCCAGTTGGGATGGAGAGGGACACCCAAAATCCTTCTGGGAGCAGGGCTGGGTCCTGCCCAGCAGAAGGACATAGAAGGAACCTCTGTGTCTTGTCAGGCCTCAGGACCTTGCTGTATGGCAGAAGGCCATGTTGGAGGGTGCCAGCAGGGACACTGTGTGGAAACCTCCCCTCTTCCACACATGCCTTTCAAAAGCAAGTTCTAGAGAAGGGATAAGGTCAGCAGATGTACATGCCATGCTGGCCCTGCCTGTTCCATCCTTCTTTGCAGTCTCTCTCAATGCCCAGGCCTTGCCATGCTCCAGATAATAATGCTCACATCACATGAGCCAACAGAGGTTCAAAACAGGAGTGGGACAGGAAGAAGCTCTGCTCTGCACAGGCATGGAGTGTGGGCACACAAGGGCACGTGTGCTGCCCAGGGCCATGGGAGAACTTGCTGTGAGTATTGGCAATCAGCAGTCAGACCTCTGCCTTCTCAAACAGCCACCACTTCAGAAATAAACCTAAAGGCCACTTTCCCCCAGAGGAAGGTATATGGACAAGCACATCTGCTGGTTTTACCCCTAAAGCCAGGATGTGGCTTTGGAGCTGGCTGCTTCCTACCCCCTTGCCACGATCCCCTTACCCAGGGAAGAGCTTCCTCAGTTTAAACCCAAATAGCCTCAGCTTCCAGTGGGAAGCAGAGTGCTCAGCACACATCCCCCCAGCACACATCGGTCCTTACCGAGCTGTGTGGCAGGTGGCTGGACAGGGGCTCCAGGGGGCTCAGCTGCCCCCTCCGGACCGCCCGGCTCCCAGGGCTCGCTGTTCTCCAACACCTCCGAGCCAGCATCAGGTGGCCCTTTCTGGCTCCCCGACTGCTCGCTGCTGGAGAAGGCATCCTCAGAGGTGCTCCGGGTCTCCTCCTCCACCTTTGCTGCAAACCACACCTTCACCTGCTGGGCGCTGAGCTGGGTGCGCTCACAGAGCCCAGGCAGATCATCCTCACGCAGCGCCTTGTGCTTCTTGTAGTGCTCCTCCAGCACCTCCCGCCCCGCCGCGCTCACCTCCAGCAGGCCGGGGGGGAAGATGCCCCGCCGGTAGTTCTCATACCATTTGAGCTGCCCGTTCTTGTAGCCGTACCGACTGTCACCAAACCAGCGGATGACCTCGGCCCGCGGCAGGCCGGTCTGCGACACGATGGCATCGTACTCCTGGTTGGTCGGCCGCTGCGTCTGCACGAACATTTGCTTCAGTAAGTGCCGCTGCTGGGCTGTTTTCTTAAAGTTCAGTTTGGGTTTGGGAGGGCTGGGGGGCTGGTTGCTGCCGCTGTCCCCCTTCTCACCTGCAGTGGTGCCGGGGGCCTCTCCCTTGCCGTTGGATTCTGTCACACGGAGGTTCTTCAGGTTGATTTTGATGGGACTCACCTTGCGCTCGGCTGAGTTGGGGTTGTTGGCAGAGGCATCGAGCGAGCAGTTCTCACCCAGGGCCCTCAGGTCATCCAAAGAGTCTTCTCCTTCCCCACGGCCGTTCTCAGCCTCTTCCTCCTGTTGCTGCCCTGCTTCCTCCGCTTTCTTGCTCTCCTCCGCCACCTTCTTCTTCCTCCTCTCTGTGAACCAGCTGTCGATCTCCCTCCGCGTCATCTTTGTTTCCCCCCTCAAGCGATTCACCTCTTCCTCCGGGGGCTGAGGATTTTGGGCAAAGCTGCTCTCCAGGGCCTTCAGCTGCTCTGGCGCGCGCTCCTTGTACTTGGTGGCCGTGAAGTCAGGTGCCTGGTGCCAGGACTGCCGCCTGCCCGGGTGCTGCAAGACTGGCATGGCCGCAGGCGTCAGCTCCACTCCCTTGGGAGGCACCTCAAAGGGAATTTCAGGCAGAGAGTCGAGAGCACTGTCTCCAGGGAAGATGGCCCTGCCGCCTCGCACGTTCCTGTAGTGGTATCGCCTGTCACTGAACCACTTCCGAATCTCCTTTGTAGACAAGCCAGTTATTTTTGTCAGCCTCTCGACCTCAGCCTGCCCAGGGAACTGATTCCTGCAGAAGCTGCCCTTCAAGGCAGAGAGCTGCTCGTGAGACTTTTTGTTCTTGAAGACATTGGGATCCAGGAAGGTCTGTGAGGAGATGGCCGGGCAGGCGGTGAGCACCGACGGGGTGGCTGTGACCACCTTCAGTGCTGAGGCGCTGCCGGAGCTCACCGTGCTGTGCTGAGCTGCCGGTGGGGGCTTGGGGACAGAGCTCACTGCCAAGGTGAAGGAGGAACTGGTGCCTTTCAGCCCATTGGCCGTGATGGGCTGTGTGACCAGCAGCCCGCCCGTGCCCTCGGGCTGCCCCACCACGTGGCCCGGCAGAGTTGCCTGGATGAGGTGTGGGACGCTGCCAGGGTTGGCAACTAAAGGCGTGTTCAGCACTGTGATGGTGGGCTGCGGCACGGACTGGATGACCGTGTTAAACATCTTCTTCCTGGCATCTTCTATCTCCTCTGGGGACCAGCTGATGCCCTGCTTCAGCCTCTGAGCAGTGAACCAGATCTTCAGCTGCTCTTCGGGGTATTTTGTCACCACGGTCAGGTAGCAGAGCTCAGCTTTTGTGGGGTAGGGGAACTTGTGGAAAGAGTTTTTCAGGAAGCTGTTGGAGTCCATGGCTGCATTGTACGTGGGAATGCTGCTCAGGGGAATCATCACCTTGGGAAGGGACTTGGACGTAGGTAGCTGCTGATGCAGGGGAGGCTGCTGCTGCAGTGAAACAAGCTGTGCAACACCCGCTGGCAGAACGGGCACATTTCCAATGATGGAGCCGTTCACTACATGAGATGATTTTGTGGCACTCGTGGTGGCCTGGCTGACCGGCACCGAGCCGCTGGTGAACGAAGCCTCTCCGTCCTTTGTCTCCGACTCAGCACCCAGCTGACTCGGCACATTCTCCTTCAGCGTGTGGATCTTTTTGGCCTCAGGTTTGCCTTTCATTATCTTCATGATGGGGGTTTTGGTGATGATGATTTCAGACTGACCGTCTGCCACTTCCTCAGGGACCTCTCCCGGAGGGTCATGGCTGCCAGCAGCTTCCGCAAGGCTTTGCTCCACAACCGTACAACTGTCCTGCTTAGCCACCCTCCAGACAAAGCTCGTTTCGCTGCCATGCGACTCTGCGTTGTGCTGTGAGAGCCCTTCATGGCTTTTCACCAGAAAGTTGCACACAACGCACACAAACGTGGGTTCTTTGCTGAAGTCCGAGTGCTCAGAGTCCAGGTGCCCGAAGAAATGCTGAACGTCTTGAGACCCAAAGTCACAGCCCTTGCAGATGTAAGAGTCCCCATCGGTGATGCTGCGGTACCCGTTGGACAATGCTTCACTGCTGCTGGTGGTGGCACCAGCATTGCTCGAGGCCAGCCCTTCAGTGGGAGCATCTTGCTGTGTTCCTTCGGGTTCCTCTTCAACAGTCTCCAGTTCAGTTTCCTGAAGCACCAGTGTTTTTACTGGGATCATGCAAGGAGTCGTAGATTTCCTTTTGCTAGCCATCGCTACAATTAATCTGGATGATACTATTTAAGTTAAATTAAATTAACATTTAAAAAGCGCTATTGCAAGTGCTCTGTCTTCTAGATTCCAGCAAATTCATGATGTCCCAAGGAGCTGATGTCAAATGTTGACAAATGTTCATATTTGCCACTGAACCTGAGGACAAGGAGAGGGAGGCAGGGTTAGTTCCCTTGGCATCACACAAAGCACAACTGTATTTAACCGTTTCACTCAATAAATCACTTTCAGTGCTTTTTGCTGGAAAATAAAAAAAATAACTTGACCTTGGATTTCCCATATTTTTAGACTCACAGACTATGAATTACCTGTTTGAAAAACAAACACACGAGCAGGAACAAGTTGCACTGTGGCAGCAAAGCTGACCTGCTGCTCCCTCCCAGTCCAGCTCACAACCCCAACCTCCTCCAGCTCCATCCTTTAACACGAAGCACCCAGCTCCACCACAGCAGTGCTGTAAGCACCCATGGGTGCTGCACGGCAGAGCTGAAGACTTTTTTTTCCCCAGAATCTCTTGTGAAGGAATGGTGCTGTGAGCGCTCAGCTCCACTCCACTGCTCAGCTCTGCAGTGAGCAGCAAAATGCAATTTTCCTACCTGTGCAGCACAACTGTGCAGTGCCTCTTTCATAGGCTGTACCAAGTCCTCATTTGAGGAGCACAGACACCAGGATGTCCCCTTGCCATGCCCTACACCAGCAGCGTGCCGGGAGAGCCTCCTGGGCTCCTGCCTGCTTCCCATCACAACACCTGATGAAAATCAGTTTTACTCTTGTAAAAAAAAAAAAAAAAACCTGAACTAAAAAATAACCAACTTACCATCCTGCCCGATGAGCCCAGAAGCACCTCCCCCCATCAGAGCAGCTGGGCACCCAGAGCTCCTCTACCACATACAGTGCTGCACCGTGCACACAGAAACACAGATAGGAAATGACTTTGTGATGCATGCGCAGTGCCAACACTGCTGCATTTTGATGGCAGCTTTTAGGACAGAGCAATATGAAATCCTAGTGCTAAAATCAAACCGAGGAAGTACAGTCTGACCTCCATCTGTACTTCTTTAAAAGTTTTTGAAATATTGTTCTGGAAAAAATGATGTCAGCTTGCAAACAGCAGAGCCCGGATGGGCAATTCTGGGCTCAGCAACTCTCGGGCACGATTTAAAAGACTGATGGGAAAACGTAACTTCCCGTTAATGTGGGCTGATCTGAGATTACAAAACAGTCCTGTAAATAGCGTTAGTCATCACTGGCATCGGGAAACACTGTTTGCTGTGATAGAGCTTCACAAAAAGCTAGAAATCATAACTTTCACAAATCTATAAACGAAACAGCCTTAAAGCTGCGTGCTGGATTTGGATGGTGGGAGCTGTGCGTTCTCAATACCTGCTTTATGCTGCTCCTCTCCCACCTCCTCGTGGCCAGCCTTCCCTTACAGAAGGCCAGAAAGTTATTCATGAGCATTCGCAAGTGGAATACTTGGATGACTATGAATGGGCTCTGCTATTCAGCAGGGAACAGCATCCATTTGACACCAATCCCAGGATCCTCATTTTTGATGCTAAGTTTAAATGTTACACAATCTAGCTGGGTACAGTGACCTTTCCAAGTTGAGTCAATTAGGAAAAAAACAATAAGAGCAGTCTGAGGGCTACGAAATACACCTTTAGAGGCTGGAGTTTGATGGCGTGGCAGCTTCACCCTGCAGCTCTGATACAGGGAAGGGAGGAACTGCCGGCCCCGTCCTGCAAGCTGCCAGCAGACCCAGCTTCAGCATCCACCCCCAGTTCTGGAGGCAGCTCCAGTCCCAGACAGAGCTCATGTTGCGGCTACGGAGTTTCCACAAAAAGGTTATATTTTATCTGTCAACAGAGTGAATTTGATACAGAGCAACCCAGATACACAAAGACCCCCATTGTGTCTCGTTAGCAGAGTGCCTCTTCAGGGCGTGCAGTCAGTATTATTTTGGGTAAATGTGCGCGGTCTGTCCCACCTATGGAGAACCTGAAAGCTCTCTGTTTCATTTACCAGCACGCCTGCATCATGCTCAGCACTCTCTCCGATGAGTTTTGTTAAAAATGCAATCAGGGCAGCACAGCCAACGCAGCTCTCCTGCTGGGGATCCAATATTAATGCCACCTGAGAACACAGATTGCAAATCTGGCTGGAAGTGCATCACAGTGCCAATTTACTGGTAAAAAAAATTAATGGAGTGTACTGTTTGTCCGCTTCATTTCCATGGAACAGTTGCATAACCGCATGTTAAGAGCATGTTTTATTCACTGCTCACCTTCTGGAATGTACTAACTCTTTAATACAGCAATAATATATAACAGAATGCACAATTCGCTGATCTCTGTCATTGAAATAAGCAAGGCTGTTTTAATGGATAGGTTAAATTAACAGCAGAAAAATTGTGCAATTAAAAAGCAGCCTTACGGTGGAGCTCAGCGTGCCACCACTGCAAATGCCTCAGACCCATCTGCACAGCCATGTGAGAAGAACTTGATTTCCTACGCATTACGTTGTGATTAACTGGAAGAAAGATGAGCTGAATGCAATATCCACCCTGCGGACAGGAAGAAAGAGAGATCATCCTCTCCAATCCACACCTGCTAATTCCACAGCAAGGCAGCACAGCAAGCAGCAGCCACCACCCGATGACCCATGGACTTAAACCTGCCTCGCACACTGGAAATGTGAAGGCAAACTGACCTCAAGCGGAGGAATTTGGTATCAGAGATGCTCAGAGAGCTCACAGCAGACGGGCAGGCAGCCAGGAGCCTCGGGCCAGGTCTGGTTGCTCAGAAAGAAGGAATGGAGAAGGAAGATGGAAACTGTTAAACTCGGGATCCCAGTCCCAGAACACAGTACAGAGTTTCTGCTCCAGGCAGCCCCCAAACCAACTGGGCCAGGGAGAACCACCGGCCCCACAGCCGCTCTGCATCGCCTGGGAGAACAATGCCCAGAGAGCAGTCAGAGGGAGCTCAGAGCTTCAGAAACTGTGCTTCTGCAGAGATTAACAAAGGGAGGTTTCGAAATCGGCACTGCTGAGTATGAACTTTCAGCTTTTTCCAGCTTGGCTGGATACAACTGGTTTGGTTTTAAATGTTTCAGTGAATTAATGAGTTAGGTCGTTAATGCAAAACACTCATTCTGCGCGGTGCCAAGGTCCTCAGTTAGAAGATTAATTCGGTGACCTTTTGCAAACCTCCCCTAGAAACAACAGGGAGAAAGCCACTCCGCAGCACCCAGCAGCCATCCGCACCAGGGACACGTCGGATGGCGCAGTCCTGCTGCGGGCAGCTCTGCCGAAGGGTAAATGCTCACTTACAGGGAAGAAAAAAAAAAGATCAGCACCAAAATAGAAGTAAAATAACAGTTTTCTCAACGCTTTCTGTGCCTGCTAGGCAGGCAGACGCGCTCCCCAGGTCAGGGACAAAGTTGATGTTTCTGTCTCATGCGGAGCCAAGCGCAATATTGGCACTTCAAACAACAGCAGCTTGTTTTTCAGCTGAAACACTGCGGGCCCCACTTGATAGCATAATATGGAAAAAGAAAATTAAAGGAAGAAGAAAAGTTGACACTTGAGAGCTTTCCCTTTACTACCTGCCGCACAGCACAGAAGAAGCAATCCTTCCATTGGGAGTCATTGAAGCTCTCCAGCAGCAGCCACAGCCCAGCGAAGGGGAGATCCCTGAGCCTTGCAGCCCAGGGCTGGTCCTTTCCTCTGCCACCTCCTGCTCCCCAAAGGGCGGTCCTGCCTCAGCTCGGGGTGCAGTCACCTGGGTGCTGGCAGGGGAGGGAGCACCTGATGCACGCAGCCCTGAGGACGCAGCCCTTCCTGCTGCCACTGGCCCTGCAGTGCCACGGCTCTTTCCTCTTGGGTTAGTCATTAACATTTGTTTTTCATTTTAGTCCTTTCATGAGAAATCATGTAGGAGTTTACCAGTTACACTAATTATCCAGCTTATTGCCAAAACATGCCCTGTTGGGGCTGGCAGGAGGCAGGAAGGCCACAGGCTCCTGGAGTTTCCAGACTAACATAGGAGAGGTGAGATCTGTCCCCAACATCTCTGAGCAGCCATGGGCCTCAAGTCGCAGGCACTGGGTACCACACAACATGCGGTGAGGGCGTACAGCACATCACACCCCAACAGGGAGCTGCGAGCAGTGCGGCTGCTGCTCATCAGCACGGGGACAGCAGTGCCACCGACCTGCCACCAGCAGCCTGGTCTCAGCACACAGCAAGGCCAGCACACAACATTCTGCTGGGTTTAATCCCACAGGGAACCGCAAGTTCCCATGAACAGACAGCTCATGACACCTTCCCCACCAGTGCAGATCACTGGGGCTCTGCCACTGCTGGTGTTCTCAACCAGCCACAAAGCACCAGCAGCTCCAGACAAGTCCTGCAGGCAGGAACAGCCTCTCCATGTCTTATTATCTCACACCACACCAATGTACAAACACACGCACCGGTTGCAGCAGTTTCGAGCTGCGAGCAGCATCGCACAGCAAACATTTGTGCTAAGGAACAATTTCTCTTTATGCCAACTGCTGGGGCACGCTGCAGCCCAAGCCTGGCTTTGCACTGCATGGCTGGGCTGAAGGCACTGGACCCCACGGCCCAAACAATCGCCTGCATTCTCCATTCCTTGGCAGGCCTCAAACAGACAGGCATCATTTTCATTCAGACCAGCGAAAGAAAGCTATTCATTAGGATCTCACCCTTCTATAGGCTGCTGCACCTCTCCATTTCAAATGTGCCTTTAAGAGACCTCTCCTCCATCCTGCACGTATTTCATTGACCTGTTTCAAGCCATTTCCAATCTAGGAGACAAGGCTGTGGGTTGAGCTGTACTTCCAGAATAGCAGCACTGTGCCTTCATCTCTGTTACCTGGGCAGAGGCTGCCTTTGTGTGCTGGCACCCAGGGACCAAAGGTAATTATCTCCGCTCTTTTTCAGCCGAGCACAAACCCGAGCGAGATGGGAGCTGGAGAGGGGTGCTTGAAACAGAACGCGATTAGAGTATAAAAATAGGTCACTGGGATAATATAACCTTTAGACTACTGGCAACGTGCCCCCCTCAGAGACAAGCTGCGTGCTATATTTCAGCAGAACGTCGGGAATAAAAAAC